GGTGGGGAGAATCGTACGTCTTGACTGGCCTTTTTCTTTCGCTAGAATGATTCTATTGTAGTTACCGTGCGCACAAAGGTTACTGCGATCTTTGCAGTCTTCGTTTGCGAAAAGAGCGCGCTTTTCAGACACAGCAAAGTAACAACAGAGAACCTTATTCGTATTCATCTGTACCTGTTGGTATTTTTTTGCGTTATATGTGCGTGAGAAACGTGGGGCACGTTTCGATCTGCTTGCCGTTCCGCGCGTCACCTTCTAATTTGTTGCTATCGCGTTCATAGTTTCGCTTTTGTGGCAAAGCTGTGACTTTTTTAATAAGAGAAAACCAAAACGCGCAGCACCGCAGTTCACGGTGCCTCTGTGTGCAATACCACTGCACCAATGAGAGCAGGTGGTCATCGCCACATTCGTGTGCTGTCAGGAACGGAGGGCATCAAGAATACTTCTATAACATAAGCAAGCATACCGCACAGCAAGCGTCCCGGCAGTAACGGTGCCGACTAAGTTTGCGATGTGTTGTACACAAGTGGAAATGATCGGATCACACGGTTGCAAGTGCTGGCTTCTGGCGAAAATTTTGTGCCGTTAACTAGCACACGCATCATGGAAGTACGAAGAACTGAACGAGTTATCCGCTTTTCCGTATTTGTTTGCTGAGTCATCATTTCAAAACGCTCCATGTGTGACAACAATCATTTTAGACCGCGCGTTGCTGGCATCGCAGCGCTCGCTCATCACGAGTTGTAAGTTTGCTACTGGTGGTTGGCATGTTGTTAAGGGGTTAGCGGCAAATTGGAATGCATTTACGAGAGCTTTCGTGTGCATCAAAATGCCTGATGAGTCTACTGGAGACACTGAAACAATTTCGGCCGTGTGTGTGGTTATCTGATCGCATGATAGGGGTGAAAACAACATGAGCTCATGTTTTTGGATCATTTCGTTGTCCCTAGGTAGTGCGTGAAATCGGACATTGGCCGTATTAGAATAGCGACTTTTTTTCTCATTTTAACTTCGCCTGGATTCCATCATACGCAGACACGGTCTACTGCAATGTCGCTTTGAATAGAAGAACCAAAAATAATCAGTCTTGTTTCTGAAAGTCTGAAAACACCATTGGCGCAAGTTTGGCAGAGAGTTGCCAAAATTTGAGAAACTGCCACAAGATGTAGCATGTAGCAGCCAGAGTACTTTGGCGCAGTTTTGCGCAAGTGGTGCCGCGTCAGCATCTCTGCGTTTGGTAATGTATTGACTCGGCAGGCACTTTGGTTGCTAGCGAAAAACATAAAATTACTACATCAGCCAAGTGATTCCCAGCAGCAATGCGCAGCACAACCATGTCGAATAACCACTAGTTATCTAATGCATCGTGTTTTAAACCTCTTCAAGAAACGTGTGGTTCGCGACACGCCCCGAATTTAAAGCATAGAATAATTTGTACCTAGCTGACAAATTAGTTTTATACGCGAATTTCGAGTGCGTGAAGTGCACTCACCTTTCCGGCCTCGTTAAGGCTGCCAACAGTAGTGTCGACCAAGTGCGCTTCTTTCCCAAAGGCTGCATAAACAAATTATTGGAATCAAACTTTCCGTGTCATAACTTCAGCCCACACCAAAGTGTGAACTCATTCATAGTCATCAGCGTTATTACGAAGAAGTTACTCAATCGTCAGTTTTAAACTAAGCACAGACTAGAATGTAAAGCGTGCAAGGCAACTCAATAGCAATTCCTACAACCCTACCCTTCAAAACAAGCATTAAATCCACGGTTTAACCCTGAAATTCGTTGAATACGAAATGAACAAAAGTAGTTTACGTCACTAATGTGAAATGGAGTGAAAAAAACTTGCCAAACAGAAATTCACTTCGACAATGAACATAATTATTGGCAGCAGCATTTTTTACAATTCATTGCTACAATAGTGTTTTTGAAAACAGTACAAGATTTCAACTTGCTTTTAACATAATACGCATAAAAATATTTAACTACGTACCTTTAGATGGCTTAACTAACAAGTGGTCCTAGGCAGAAGGCTGCCACCCGCATTATTCAATAGGGCTGTCATGAATACACGGCATTATCCATATACAACACTATACATCAGCAAACTATCTGGGCTGATCATGCAGAAAAAAAGCTCAATCAAACCTATATATTGATAAACATTTCTAACGATGCTCCTCTACTACCTCACTTGCATCGCTGCAGCCAGATCTGCATCTTTTGAGTGCTGTGGTACCGGGCGTCATATGGTGCTCATGTACTGCTCGTTGGCAGAGATATTGGCGGAACATGCTTTTAGAACTTTCTGTTGATAGGATTTCTTTGTATATACCTTTTTTACTGGCTCTCTTTTTTACTGTAACCTTAATACCAGATAAGCAGCATGCTTCAGGTGTTTTTTTTTTTGTACTGCAAGTAATGAGAAAGCTTTTGCTTGTGATCACGTTACTCAAAACTTCAAAGGGTTGCTTGTAGCTGATTCCAACAGGAATCGCACCAACTTGCATGGACATTCACAAGGAGGGCTCATTTATGAAAATCACAATTCATATTCATGTACGAACGGTTTTACGGTGAAATGGAACACTTTCAGTAGCACCAAGTCCAGAATTCACTGTCTGGCAAAACATACCGTCTTTGATTTGCATAAGGCTACTACTACTTGACTGTTCTGACTCCTTATCATACACTGGTGCCACGCACGAACAATTTCATAGTTATGCTTGCAGTTATGGGGCCCACAATATGGCAGGTGATCATTGGAGTTTTTCTTTTAACAGTGGACGGTACGGTGCATCTCTATTTTATGGATGGGCCTAAATTCTGTTATATTTTATGTCTGTATGCTTCTGGATCATATTTTAACTAACATCTGTAGGATAATGCAATGAAAACTGAGATATGCCAATTTGAATGCACTTCTTTGGAATAAATATGAGTCCGAAAATCGGCTGTGCATAAAAATCGATACTACGTTGGCAACAGCCAACTGCTATCAAAAGAGTCACTTCAACACCTCCAAAACAATGTCATCATTGCACAAACAATGGCAAAAGAGCACATGTTTGGAAATTGCATAGGATGTGTTTTCGCGCAACTGAGCACTGCGTATCACATTGACTTCCTTGTGAAGTGAAGCTCTGGATACAATGCTGTTATGAGGAATGCTCACAAAAAAGATATGTTTATTTTTCACGGCAAAGAAAGTTGCGTCGTGTTCTCCTTGCGTGCTCGAGGCCTACAACTGGGTGTCGCAAACAAACAAACAAGATCTTCAGCTGTAAGTCAACCAAAAAAGGTCTCCATGAGCCAGAAACATCTGGCCTTCAAAGTGAAGCTTTCCAACTAGCTCAAGCTACTTTGTGAGAAGGTAGCTTGTCTAAGTAACAGCACTGGATACACACGCGATCGAGGCATATCCAGAGGTGACCTTATATAAAGTAAAACTGAACCACTGACGAAAATGCATTGCATGAACAGTAAGTTTTTTTACGTAGGCATATTCTAATAACTTTTTTGTGATAGTCGAACCAAGGGCATGCCAAGTTTTTTTTTTTCACCAACACATATTTAGTGGTCATTAAATTGGTGTAACATAGGCATTTTTTTTAATGGTATCAGCAAGTCCTATAATTGCATGAAACTGAAGTTTTGTATATTACAGCTTTTTTTATTAATAGATCACCAAGAGACCAAAAGAGTTTTTCTCACGGTGTCTACTTCGTGGACATGTCCGATTTGCTGGAGCACGTTCAGTTACGCAAAAACAAAACGATGAAATATAACGTCATGGCGGGGTTGACCACGTCGGCGCACCGAATCTGCTAGCATATTTTCTGCTTGTAAATATTTTACGTAGACGAAATGTAGGGTAGCAGCACTTTTTTAAAATTTGACAAGTCTCCACGTGCGTATGAACGTGAGGAGATGTTTAAAGAGTGATACATGAAATGCGTAGAAGCCTTTCAGGCACGTCAGGCGGGTGACTGCAATAAACGTAAGTTATTTATTTTATTTATTCAAGTACCTTGAAGGCCCACTAGGGGCATTACAGGGGAGAGGGGGAACAACTGCAAATTTTTGAAGAAAATGAATAATTGAAGGCATTACAATTCTACAGTACCGAAATTCATAAACATCAACGCAAGCGAAACAACATTGAACAAAGCATAATTGTTGTATTAGTACGCAGTTGCGCTAGGCTGGGGTCAGTCATCTTCTATATTTTTAACACCTTCTTCCTCTACGTCTCCCTCCAGCACCTCCTAACGTCCGCGTACACTCCGCCTTTTTGAAGATTCATCTCTCCTGGGGTGATACACGAAGATGTTTCCAACGGTCGCAAACTCCAGCACACCGTCATCGTTGGTGTAACCAGCCCTTTTGAGAACACCATGTTGCACTGTGATCTTCTCCACGCGATAAGGTCCCATGTACCTGCTTTGTGCCAGGAAGGCCTTTTCTGATGAGCCTTTTTCATGGACGAGAAGTTAGGACGATGTTGAACGCGATGTTGTCATATGAATGCGATAACAATGAAACGAGTGCCAACGCGTTCACTCAACGTGCAGAGGAAGCCAAGCAGCTCACACGTCGGCGAATATACCAACAGCAAGAGCACGACGCAGTTCGCCATAAACTACGTTATACACCTGCACCATACCGAACCGGCGAAAGGGTGCAGGTGTGGACGCCTGTACAAAGACGGGGACTATCCAAAACGTTGCTCAGGAGATACTTCGGACCTTATCAAGTGCTGCAAGGACTAGTGACGTTACCTACGAGGTCATCCCGAGTAGCCCAAACAGCACCAGGCGTCGCCGCCAGCACCGATCTGAATCCATGCACGAAGTGCGCATAAAGTCATACGTCAGCGAGTGACTCTGCGAAGGACCTTCACTTGTACAAAGCGACTTCATGCGTGAATGACTGGCTCAGCTATAGCATTCGGTGATGCTCTATAAGGGGAGGTGAAGTCGCACTTGAATCGGGCAGACAACGATGACGATGTGCGCGCCAACAGTCTCGTTGTCTTTGCTCTTGGCTTGTGCGTAATAAAAATACGCCGTTGGACCTTGCACTAAACGTCTCGGTGTTTTACTTGCAATAAACCACCACGATATATTCTGCGATTATATTGCCAACAGCACGTAGTGGGTCGACAGCAAGAGAGGCTCTCAATCTGGAGAAAAAAAAAGATCGGGTGCCTCTTCTCTGCTCGAGAGCCAAAACGTAAAAAAAAAACCGCACTTGCTATGGGTACCAGGCCACCGCGAATTAGATTTGAACGAAATGGCGGACTCTTTAGCAGCAGTATCCCTGGGTGGGCCCCCCATCCCTGTTTTGCCAGATACGGCTTACGTGACAGCGCTAAGGTTCCGAAATGCTTGCCTGCAATGGGGAAAAGGTAATTTGGATAAATTCAAAGATTTCGAGCATTTGAGCTATTGCTGGAATAAACACTGGTGTGTATCTCGCCAGTTAGAGGTCTCTTATACCGCATTGCGCTGTGCAGTTCCACAACTAAATTATTACCTTAACAAAGCTCGGCTCAAGGCGTCACCGCTATGCATTTGGTGCAACAAAATTGAAACAATTGAACATTTCTTTTATTCTGTCATCGTTATTTTTTTATCAGAAAAAAATTTCTACTAGCCCCATTACAAAAGCTAGGAGTACAAGTAAATCTACCAGTAAATTTATCATTTGATGGAACTTCATTTGGTTACTTCCACAAGGATGTATGCTTCACTGTGTTTGATTACATCAACGCAACTAAAGGATTACCGTGCTAGTGAACCCCTACCTTTTCAGATCTTTAGTTTATAATTCGTAGTTATGTCTATCAAAAACAAGAGATGGTTTGACCGCTTGCTCAGCAAACATTTTTGTTTTTTGGTAGTATTATTTTTAAACTACTTTTTCAGATTGGCTTCATTTTCATATTAGTTTCATTTAGGTATCCTGCCACCCCGTTCTTGGCCCATCCCCCTCTGTGGGTAAGCGCCATCCATCAGAGGTCATCAGCATCGGCATCAGCCACGACTGACGCATCGTCCTAGAGCTAGCTAATCAGTGGCTTAATAAATCTCCCAGTACTTGTGACTCATCGTTACAAACTGGGGGAAGTGCTGGGTAGTCTCACGGATGCTGCAGACCCCCCCCCCCCCCCATGAAGCCGTGATACGCGTCCAGTGCCAGTGAATACTCGCGTGCATCAGACCAGCCGACGAATCAGGGGATTGCCTCCGGAAGTCGACGATACTGCTCCCCCGCGTCGACATACGACCAGCGCTTCGGTGCAAACCTCGTCAACCAGCACGGGAAGCACGACGTCAAACCGCTATACGTTAAAAACCCCACGGGCACCGGCGACGTTCCATGGCACGGAGCACGAGGACGTTGAGGACTGGTTGGCGGACTTCGAGCGCGTAGCCACCTTGAATCAGTGGGACGACGCTGTGAAACTGGATCGTGTCTATTTTATCTCGAAGATGAGGCACATACGTGGTATTAAAATCGATAGGAGCAGCTGACGACGGGGCCCGAATTCT